GTTCAGGCTGTGAAGAGAGGGTGCAAGTGGTGTAGCTTCAACTGCTTGCTCCATGTTCGAGCATATCTGGACAGCTTGACCCACTGGCGTGAACAATTTCGTCAATTGAGTGCTGAGGCTGCTGACAAGGAACTTCTGTGGATTTTTCACTCATGTAGAGACAGGACATCGGCCAGTTGTCCTGTACTGCCTCACCTTCAACGTGATCAAGTGACTCATGATGAAGATGGGCGCACCACGGACACATCTGAAGTGGAGAATGAGAAGGCTAAGCCTGCCACAGACTCAGGGACATCAACATCCAATCCAGATGGTACAGAATCAAATGACTTGCAGCATCATGTTCCAATCAATAGAACAAGGGTGCCTGTGGTTGTTGCCAATGTGACAAGAAAGAGGCCTTCAAAAAGGACATCAACAAAACGGCCATCATCACTTGACCTAGCCAAGTTCCTGCCATTGACTGGAGATGAACGTTTGGGTGTCATATGTTTTCGCTGTGTATTGTTTGCCCTTGGCATTGGTCAGTCCCGGTATACACGTGTCCTTTGGCAAGTGAATTGTATAAATCATTTGATTTGATTTGTGTTCATTTACATGTGTTTTGCAGTGCTGCTATTGAAGAGTGTACTGATGGGACCTGAGGTTCTCAATGGGCAGCCAGACTTGCGGCGGTCAGGGTTCCGCACAACTGCCACCAGCTCTCCTCAGCTGGATGTTGCCAACAAGTTTCTACAGATGAAGTACTATTCTGAAGGTGAGTTTTTACCTGAGCGGTGGGATTTTTCTGCTAAGAGTGAGTTTGTGATTGACAAGGCTTGGAAGAATATTGGTCAAGTGACAAATGATGATTCTGATCCAGAGACTGATGGCTCTGATGACAATGAGGATGCTGAGGAAAGAGCTGTATCTTCTTTGGCATGTGATGCAATTGTCATGAGTGAGCCTTTCCGGATGGCAGCTGTTGGTCCAGGAAGTGGGCCAGGAGTTCGCAGATATTTGGGGGTTGTAAAGCCTGCAATTCTCTTTGAATGCATGTTGAAGTGGTGTGCTCAATGCAACTTGCTGCCTGCCCCTTCATTCACCACATTTTTGAGGGCATTGCGACAAGCCCGGCCTTGGATACGTTTTAGATGCTTGGATCATAATAGTTCCTAGATTTGGTCTCCTATTTGTCAAGTAAGTTTTTTGGCGAACATGTTCGTGCATGTGTCACAAAGAAGTTATGCTGTCAAGGAAAGGCTCAGGGCCAACATGGTCTGCGCAACTCCTGTTGCTGGTATAAGAAGCAGCTCAGATGCCATCTGTCATGTGACGCCCGTGTCAATGTGATGAACCAGTATGCTGCTCATCTTCTACAAAACTGGAAGGACCGACAGTTTGACAGCGCAACATGCCATGGCTTGCCAAACGCGACAAGCAATGATTGCTGGGACTGATGTTGCTGCCATACAACAAAGTGTAATTGAGCTTGTCAGAGGAAAGGTTATGCTTGTGACTTACTGTAATATGTTACTGTTTTGTTTTAATGTGGTCATTGGCTCTACTCATTGCCATCAAACATTGAGGTATTGCTGATGCGTTCAGATGCGTTGGATCAAGCCAAGCATCGAGTCCCGAGGCAAATGCAGCCTTCAAAGGCATTCAGTGAGCTGATCAGGCCATGTTGTCATGTGATGATGGTGTGGATCCACTGCATGACATTTGCCTTTTGCATCTCTGATGCTGACTGTTTCAAAGAGGCTTGGCTTGTTTTGTGGCATTGATTTTTTGTATGTATTAAGTCAAAATGATTAGGACCACGTAACACATCAGGAAATACACAACCTTAACACTCAGGACACGTGCAATCATTGTGAAACTTTGGCACGTGCCATAAGCAGATGCTATGACAAGTTTGGTGGACGCCTGCCAAGACATTATTTCTTGATATTGGACAACACGTGTTCCTGCAACAAGAACCAATTGCTCTTGAAGTGGCTCACCAAGTTGATTGTCATGGATGTCTTTGTGACAGCAACGATCCTGTTTCCTGTGAAGGGTCATACACATGGACCCTTAGATGCCATTGGCGGTCAGGCTGTGACACGGTGTAGTCACATGCCATTTGATGATCCAAATGGCTTGGTGGACACGTACCAGCAGTTCTTGTCACGTGCCACATTTGAGGAGGGGACGTTCTCAAAGACATGTTACAAACATGACAACAGCGCTGACTGGAACGCATGGATCAATGACATTCCATTGAAGTTTGCCAATCACACTGGTCCAATGGCGCCGCATGGCTTTCGGGTCCTCAAGCGGAAGCATGTCAAGAAGGAGGAGGTGGAGCATGCCAAGTACCACTGTGCCAACCCTTCGCCAAATGACATCATGATGCTGCTGTATCACTATATGTCTGATGCACTTCCATACCAAGTGGTCAGGCTGTTTAGCAACTTGCATTCAATATTAATGTATTGTTTTTGTTTGCAGCAGCTTCAGGCATATTTTTTGCATGTGATTGGGTTTCATATAATCAAATGTTGTGTGAGGTGCCAGTGAAGCCAACATGTTACGTGCCACCTTTGCAGAGCAGCCATCTGGTGAGCGGGGCAGGCGCCAAATGTCACGTGAGGATCGGCTGCTGGTGGTGCGGCAGGCTGATGCGGCCTATGCAAAGGATGCCATTTCCTTCAAGGCCCACAGCTTTCTCACTGGGTGGGCAAAGGGAACATTGCGGCGTCATCCACGGCCAAGTGACTACAGCTTCTTGGTGACATATACTTTTGAATGCGTTCACGATGGTTGTCTCAGGTTTGATTCAATGTGCTGTATGCAAATGCCCTCATGATGGCTGTCTCAGGTTTCCTCCGTCACCGTTGTGAAGCTGGCAGTGGACACATGTCACATGATGTGGTTCCGCGCAATCCACATTATGAAGGAGGCAGGCCACGCCCTATATTGGTGCAAGTGCACAATCCTGATCCTGATGGACCACAATTGGACCTTGTGGACCCTTGAAGTGTTGATCACATCAATCAAAACTTTTGATTTGCGTAAATATTTGTTTGTTGGGGCAACCTGCAGTTATATTCCTTTTAAACCAGCTGGTGCAAACCATGAGAATCATGTGCAGTTCAGGCAGATGATGATGATGCAGAAGATGATGAAGGGCCATGTGTCATTCAAAGAGAACCGTGACTAAGTGCTGCATCACATGCCATATATGGCTGGCTTAAATCAGAGCCATGACAAAGAGCTGTATCACATGCCATATGAGAAATGGCTGTCACCAATCCTGTGTGGAAAAGGGTTTAAAATGTGCACAGAACTGACAAGTGCCAGTAGTGACAAGAGTGTGGCAATTGATGATGTGGCATGATGTGAGAATATGGCATGTGAACACTATTCAACCATGCTCTTGACAGGTGCGCTCGCTCAGGCCACTGTTGTGAGGAGGTCTTCTATTTGCATCTTTGTGTGTCACAGTTGCAAGGTTTGTAGGTTTTGCATATTGAGAGATTGCTGTGCATTCCTTTGGTACTGAGGCAATGCATGTTGCTGGTTCTCGAATGGAAATGCCTGTCTCTCTGTGTCTCTCCTCCCTCTCTCTCTCTATCTCCTCTCTCTCTGTCTCTCCTCTCTCTCTCTCTCTCTCCTCTCTCTCCTCTCTCTCCTCTCTCTCCTCTCTCTCCTCTCTCTCCTCTCTCTCCTCTCTCTCCTCTCTCTCTCTCTCCACTCTCTCTCTCTCTCTCTCTCTCCTTCCTCTCTCTCCCTGCCCAATGGAAGTACAGGGCCATAGAAGTACAGCGCCATAGAAGTACAGGCAGGCCCATAGGAAGGCCGCAGTGTAGCAATGACCCAGGTGGGTAAAAGAAGTCCTAACATATAAAAGATAACAAATTGCAGGGGACCCATGTGACATGTGTGGTATCA